TGTTTTGTTTTTTCACAGGTTTATATTAAACAGCTCATTTCAGGCAGTGATTGCATAGATGTTTGGATAGGGAAAATGTTTTTAATTTAATCCATTAATCATCAAATTCAATATTTTAGGTCTTATGAGTATAAAAAATATACAAAAACAAACACCTTGATTGTACATCGATATGGATTTCACATAAACTGATAATTACTTGTTGATTCCTCAGTTATTTGGCTGAACAGAAAATAAATTAGTCACAGTTTTGATGTTTCAAAACTAATTCTGTCATTTAAAATGTTTCCATAACAACAAATTAAATATATCTTTGGGTTATTTGTTGACACTTCATTTTGGTTTCAGTGAATAATGGAGTATTTTTCATTATTATCTGATATTTTACATTTGAAAAGTTAAGTTCTTCCTCAACATGGTACAGTCCAGCCGCCCCCTCCCTCCCCTCTGATTGGTCCGCTCCAACCACATGCTGGAACTCAGCGCAGATCACGTGACAGGAGCATTTCCTCCAACATGGCGGCCGGTCGTGGGTTGTAGCTAAGTAGCAAGAAGCTAAATGTTGTAGCGAGGAAACTCTTTTCTGATCTCACGCGACCGTCGCTCGGTTTCCGGTGAGTTTGCGTGCTTTTGTCCCGTTTAACGAACGAAATGACGCAACTGACGCTGCGCTGAGGGGCGAAGCGTCCTGTCGGAGCTAACTGCAGCTAGCCCAGTTAGCCTGCGTGCTAACGTGCCTGTATTTGTAAACAGTGGGTGAACGTGCTGCTAAAAACGAAAGTGCTGATTAAAGGAACTGTGACGTCACAGCAGTGCAAACAACAGTAAACAGCCGGAACACTCAAATAAAAGATGATGACTTTGATTCAAACAGAACAGGAACAATCCAACTTTAATCTCCTGTGCATTCAGTTATTTTACAGCAAACGGAAATCAATTGCACCGAGGTCACTCAGTGCAAAGCTGTGACGTGATTGTAAGAACGTTTTTAACCTTCAGTTGTGATGAGAAGAAAAAACACAGAAAAAATGTCTCCTCTGTTTTCAGCTGAGTGTCAGACACAGGCCAAGTCGTCCACAGTCTGCTGGTTCGATTCCCTCTGAAACAGCGAGATGCCAGGGAAACACTTCAGCTTCAAACCAGGAGACCTGGTGTTCGGCAAGATGAAGGGCTTCCCTCACTGGCCCGCCAGGGTACGCACGCATCACAACGAATATACACACTGAAAACACAAAGCACGCCAAATCACTGGAATGTTCAAAGTTGATGAAAGAGCAGCTCAAAGAGAGACAGAATTTGTTGTTAATATATTTAATTTAATGTGTGTGTGTGTGTGTGTGTGTGTGTATTCAGGTCTGCAAGTCTGACAACGGATACAAGAAGCGAGTCCCGGTCTTCTACTTCGGGACGCATCAGATGTATGTTCTCACACAGTTTCATCATTTACACATCAGAACTAATCAGCAGCACAGACTGAGCTGTGGTTCTCTCTCTCCCTGTCTCCCCCCCTTCAGAGGAAGTCTCCCCGTAGAGAATGTCGTTCCTTATGTCGGGAACAAGAAAAGGTACGGCAGCGGAGTTCGCATCAAAGGCTTCGCTGAGGGAATGTGGGAAATCCAGAACACACCTAACATTGGGAGTAAAGTCAAAGTGAGTGTCTCTCACCCTCTGATGTTAATGTGTCTAAGTTCATATCTTCTTTTATGTTATCTTTATATCGTCACTGATTTATATTCAGTCGTTATCTTTGATTCCTGGTAAAAAACGTCTTTTATACGCTCTGTTGATTTTACAGATACCAGTAAAAACCAACACACAGACGACACCTGCTAAACCGACGTCTGCAGTGAAAACCACACATGACAAAGTCACAAGTTCTTCCATCAGATCATCCCAGAGTACACCTGTCGCTGTGAAGGTCGACAGTAAAGTTAGAACTTCTCCGATCAAAGCTTCAAGTCAAACAGAAACTGTTTCTACACGAGCCTCATTAAGATCCGCTCCAGAGTCCACACAGACTCCTGAGAAGACTGGGGCAGATTCCTCAGTGACAAAGAGAAGCAGGAAGGTTGAGTCAGAGGCGACAACCACCAGAGATCCACCAGCAGGGGGCAGCAGAATAAAAAATTATGTAAAGGATGAAAAAGAGGTGAACATGAACTTTGAGTTATAGCAACACTATTTAACTTTTACTGAGCAACAGCGCCCTCTGCAGATATTACCCATGAGCCCATTCATGTTTGCCGATATGTATAATAATGAAATTATTTGAGGCTTTAACGACGACTAAACCTTTAAGATTGAATAACCATTTGTTGCATATCTTTTTTTGTTTCCTCAGGAGACGGCAAACGTGGTGAAAACAAAAATCTTGACTCCGAGCAAAGTTACAACGGAGAAAAAAACTCAGAGCATCGTCAAAGCTGTGACCACAGCAACAGACAGCCACGATAAAACCGAGGTGACAAGTCCCACTATGACCAGGAGCAGAAGATCTGAGCCTAAGGTACAAACACTGACCAGTTCATAAACAAGGGAGAGGTTTGTAAACAGGAAGTCGATTCTATAATGTAGTTGGTTGCTTAGTTACAGAAAATACTGCGTATGAGCAGTGATAGTGAAAAGTAAGAACGGGGATTTTTTTCCTGGAGCGACGACGAGGTGGAACTAAGGACACTTTGCATTCACTGCTGGTCATCGAGTCACATGACTGATAAGAACCAATCAGGAAGAGAACGTTGTAGAAGAATAAAACACAACCCTGGAGTCTTCAAACTAAAATGAGACCAGCAGTTGTTTTGGTGTGGGCGGAGCCTGATTTTTGGTTTGTTTGGTTTTCCAGGTCGTTGCTGAGCAGCTCAGAAAGAGAACATCTGAGAGTCCTGCAGCGACACCTGCAGGTAACAAACACAACTTTGCTTATATATAACTAGACAACGATGATTAATGACTGTATATAAAGAATCTATCCATAGACTCAGACACCGATAATAATCAATAATTATCTGATAAATTCTCTGTTGTTTTTCTGCAGCTGGTAAGAAAGTGAAAAATTCTGAGACACAAATGTCCAAAAACTACAGAGAATGGAGAGAACAGGAGGAGGATAAAGAGGAGAAGAGTTCAGCAGAGAGTCGAGGAGTCAAGAGGAGGAGAGAAGAGAAGGATGAAGAGGAGGAAAGAAGAAAAGACAAGACGACGGAGGAGGAGAAAACAGCGGAGATAAAGTCATCTGACAGACAAGGAGTGAATAGAAATGAAGAGGAGAAAAGAAAACAAGATGAAGGTGTAGAAGGAAAGAAAGACATGATGACGAAAGAAACTCAAGCAATGAGGACGAGGAGAGCCGAGAAAGAACAGGAGGAGAAAACAGAAGATGGAAAGAAAGAGCAGAGGACGAGGAGAGAAACCAGGGCAGAGGGCGAAGGAACAAGAAGCACGAGAGATACGGAGGCAACAAAGAAGGAAGCTGAGGAAAGAGAGAAAGAGGAGATGACAAAAATTGAGGAGGATCAAGCGAGGAAGAGGGAGGAGAAAGAGAAGGAGGTGATGAAGAACTTAAAGGTTTGGGTGAGGATTGAAAGTATGGAAGAGCTGAAGAGGAAGACGGAGGTGAAGAAAATTGGAGGAATGTCAGAGAGAGAAGAGAGGATGATGACGGACAGGGAGAAAGGAGAGGTGATGAAGAAGAAGACTGAGGAGGAGAAAACAAAAGAAACGCTAGAGAGAGAAGGGAAGATGATGACGAGGAGAACAGAGGGAGAGAAAGGAGAGGAGGGAAAGAAAGAAGAGATGAAGAAGATGATGGAGATGAAAGAAACTGGAGAAACGTCAGAGAGAGAAGGGAGGATGACAAGGAGAACAGAGAGAGAGAAAGGAGAGGAGGGACAGAAAGAAGAAATGAAGAAGATGGAGGTGAAGGAGACTGGAGAAACGTCAGAGAGAGAAGGGAGGATGACAAGGAGAACAGAGAGAGAGAAAGAAGAGATGAAGAAGATGGAGGTGAGGAAAACTGGAGAAACATCTGAGAGAGAAGGGAGAATGACAAGGAGAACAGAGAGAGAGAAAGGAGAGGAGGGACAGAAAGAAGAGGTGAAGAAAACTGGAGAAACCTCTGAGAGAGAAGGGAGGATGACAAGGAGAACAGAGAGAGAGAAAGGAGAGGAGGGACAGAAAGAAGAGGTGAAGAAAACTGGAGAAACCTCTGAGAGAGAAGGGAGGATGACAAGGAGAACAGAGAGAGAGGGAAAGAAAGAAGAGATGAAGAAGGTGGAAGTGAAGGAAATTTTGGAGAGAGAAAGGAGGATGACAAGGAGAACAGAAAGAGAGAAAGGAGAGGAGGGAGAGAAAGAAGAGATGAAGAAGATGGAAGTGATTAAAACTGGAGAAGAGTCAGATAGAGAAAGGAGGATGACAAGGAGAACAGAAAGAGAGAAAACAAAGGAAGAGGATGAGAAGACAGAAGAGGAGACAAAGAGAAAGAATGAGACAGACAAGAAAACACAGGATGGAGTTGTAGAAGGAAAGACAGAGATGATGGAGAAGAAGATGGAGGAGAAAACTGGAGAGACTTTGGAGAGAGTAGAGAGGATGGAGAGGGTGAAGGAGAAAACTAAGGATGAAGGAGAGGAGAAGGATGTGGAGAAGAAAAAACATGATGGGGGTGTCAAGAGGACGAAAGAAGAGGTGAAGAAGACAGAAGAAGAAAAAACTGGAGAAACATCAGAGAAAGGAAGGAGGATGACAAGGAGCACAGAGAGAGAAAAAACAAAGGATGAGGAAGAAGAGAGGAGGAAGAAAACGGAGAAAACTAGAGAAACTTCTGAAAGAGAAGTGAGGATGATGAGGAGAACAGAGAGGGAGAAATCTAAGGATGAAGAAGCGATGACAAGGAGAGAGAGCAAGGAGGTTCAGAAAAGAAAACATGATGGAGGTGTAGAAGGAAAGAAAGAAGAGATGGAGAAGACAGAGGAGGAGAAAACTGGAGAAAAATCAGAGAGAGAGGCGAGGATGGACATGAGAACAGAGAGGGAGAAAACAAACGATGAAGCCAAGGAGGAGGAGGTGGAGAAGAAAAAACTGAATAGAGGTGTTGAGAGGAAAACAGATGAGATAACGAAGAAGATGGAGGAGGAGAAAACGGGAGAAATGTTAGAGAGAGAAGGGAGGACGACGAGGAGCATAGAAAAGGAGAAGGAAAAAATTAAGGATGAAGGCAAGGAGGGAAAAGAAGAGGCAACAAGGAGAAAGAGGGAGGTGAAGAAAAAACAGGATGGACTTATAGAACGAACGAAAGAAGATACGATGAAGAAGAAGGCAGAGGAGGAGAAAACTGGAGAAGTGTCTGTGAGAGAAGTGAGGATGATGAGGAGAACCGAGAGGGAGAAAACGAGGGAGGAAGAAGAGGAGTCGACAAGGAGAGAGGATAAGAAAAAACTGGATGGAGGTGTAGAGAGGAAGAAAGAAGGGATGAAGAAGCAGACAGAAGAAGAGAGAACTGGAGATACCCTAGAGAGAGGAAGGAGAACGACGAGGAGCAGAGAAAAGGAGAAAACAAAGGATGACGGAGAGGAGGGAAAGAAGGAAGAAGAAAAGGTGAAGGGGGGATCTTCTGTGGAGGAGCAGGTAAAACATTCAAATATTTAAAAAACGTACAGTATTCAAACATTTCTGTACATTTCAAGGATTTGATCTTGTTTTTATGTGCAGCGACAGCGCCACCTGGCTGCCAAGAGGGAGAGTTTGTTAAAATCTCTGCGAGGTCTGATGCAGGAGGGGAGAGGAGCAACGAGGAGGGAGGAGACGAAGAACAAGCAGTAAGAAAAACTCAAACGAATCAGTTAAAGAGAGTTTGTTCGATAAAGTGTTAAAGTTTTGTTTTCTGTTCTAATCAGGAAAGTCAGGGACATGGCAAAGAAGATCGAGATCAAAAAGACAGGAAGTCAGAAGAGCACGAAAGACCTCAGAAAGACAGTGACGGAGGAGGAGGAGGAGAGGAAGATGGAAAAGAACGAGATGAAGACGTCCGACAACAAGCCAACAGCGGAGAAGACAAAAAGTAAAACAACAGAAGAACTGACCACGAAAGAAAAGCAAAGTGGACAGAACAAGGAAGACCAAATTATTGTGGAGGAGAAGAAAAACGAGCGAGCGATGGAGAAAACAGGGGAGGAAAAGAAGAACGAGGAAACGCAGCAGCAGAAAAATGAAGAAAAGAAGGAGGAGAGAAAAATAATCGGAAAGATCGTGAAGGCAACACCTGGACAGGGAACAAAGTTTCAGGTGAAGAAGATGATGGGAGGAACGCTGGCGGTGGCGTTGGAGGAAGAAAAGAAGAAGAAAGAGGAGAGAACGGACAACAAAAAGATAGAAGAGAAGAAAAAGAGCTCAGAAAAGGAGAAGGAGAAGAAATCGGAAGATAAAAAGATTGAAATCAGCCCAGAGGTTGAGAGGGAATCTGAAAGAACAAGAACAAGGATGGATGACAAAAAAGACAAGAACACAACAGAGGTAGAGAAGACGAAGAAGGTCAATGATGAAGAGGAGAAAAGAAAGAAGATCAGTGAAGATGAGGCGGTGCTGAAAAAGAGTGAAGAAGAACAAAAATCACAGAGAGCGACTCTGAAATCTCAGGAGGAGAAGAAGGAGGTGGAAAAAACAAGAGAACAGAAGAAGAAGGAGGAGAAGAGCGAGAAGGAACCGCAGCAGAAAGATGAGAAAACCACAGATCAAACAAAGAACACAGAGGACACGGTAAATCCGAAGAAGGAAAGCGACAAAGCGACTACAGAGAGAGAGGAGGGAGCGGAGCAGACGCCACAAGCCGAAGCAGAGACCAACAAAGCAGCAAAACCAGAGAAGAAGAACGCAGAAGAAAAGACTGACTCAGATGGAGGGAAGGTGGTGGAGGTGAAGCAGCAGCAGAAGAAGAAGAGTTCGACCATGACACTGACGGACTCGACTCTGCACAGAATCCACGGAGACATCAGGATTTCTCTGAAGAACGACAAGCCGGTAACACAAACACACAATTCTACATCCGGTTTACTGTTATTCTATTATTTATATTAAAGGAAACAGATTCTTGATGGTTTAAGTTTAAAAAAACTCCTGATGAAGTCCAGTCCGCTCTGAGGGGGGGGGGCGTGTCTTAGTCAGTGTGAATTATGCAAATGTATTTCCTGGAGAATCTTCGAATGTTTTTTTTCTTCCAGGACATCAGGAAGTGTCTGACGGCGTTGGATCAGCTCAGTATGCTCTACGTGACGTCTCAACACGTCCAGAGACACAGCGAGCTCATCGCCACGCTGAGAAAGGTACAAAAGTACAATGTTCATTAATAAATAACCCAACTAATATTAGATAATCCATAACTAAACTTACCTGCACAGTTCATTCATCAAATTCATCAGCGGTGAACATCTTGAAAGTACCTGTAGCTGTTTAACAAATGGGTTTCAAAAAAGTAGAAAGAGTTTCAGTTAAAATAAATAAATAGACAAATATAATATATAAATAAATAAAATATTATGAAGTATTTAATGTGGTTTTTTTTGTGTTTGTGTGAGTAGATGCGTTACTACAGAGCGAACCAGGCCGTCATGGACAAGGCCTCCATGCTCTACAACCGCTTCAAAAACACCTTCCTGGTGGGGGAGGGCGAGGAGGTGGTGAGCGCCGCCTTCCTGCGCTCGCTGCTGGAGGAGAAGGAGCAGGAGGAGGCTGAGAGGGTGGAGCGCTGCAGGAAGGAGGAAGTGAAGGAAGAGAACAAGAGGTTGAGAACTGGCGGAGAAGGGGGGGAACAAGAGGTGCGAAAAGAAAATGGTAAAAAAATTAATTTCAGGATAAAAATCTAGAACAATTTGTGCAGATGGCAAAAATTTGGAATTTCACCTTATTTGATTTTTTAAATTCCATAGTGATGAATAATGTTCTTTCACACAAAGTAATTATAATAATGATAATTTATATTTCATCATTAATATCTAATATCAGGTCAACAGTATTTTGACACTTGTCCACTTGTCCCCTCCAGCTCCAGTGGACTTGTCCTGATGGTTCAGAGTTCCTGAAGTCGTCTGGACTGAACCATTTCCCTGCTGAGGGGTGTTGATGTGAAACTGTTTCGCTGACAATGAGAATTTGCACAACCATTTACCTCATCACACATTAGTGTTTATTTCCTGTACAGCTTGTTCATCTGAGGGTGACGTTCATGTTCACGTGTCAACTCTCGTAAACGTTCAATACAGTTATACTGTTGTAATGTAGTTGGGTTATAGACTGACTCGTATTCACCAGGACAGTGTTTATTCCTCTTCCACTAAAACACTCATTTTTAATTTTGTATTTCATAGTTTAAACCATGTTTTCCACAAAAAGTAAGAACAGGACAGATGGCTGATGGGGAGTCTAGTTTTATTTATCATGTGCATTTTTTTTATTCATCAGGTCGATGTTACAACAGCAGCTTTGAACCTGAAGTTAAAGCATTAAATGGCCTCATTAAAACCTGAACGTTTGTACTCACACTGCTACAGAGGGCGCGGTGCCTTGCTCATGGACGCGCCGCCGCAGTGAAAAAAGGGTTGTAGCTGTTAAATGTGACACTCTGTACAGTAAAATGTTTTATCGTGTATTTTATTGTGACCCAGTGAGATGTTCCTGTTCTTTCTCGTTCTCTTTAAACGACTGACTCTGTTTTGTACATTTGTAATTTTTACCTCCACAATTTTTTTTAAATAAAAGTGTTGCACAAACCCGACCGGACTTATTTCAGTCACAACACCGAAGAAGCTGTAAGTAAATGTTTGATATCAACATAAGAAAATAAAAAAATAGCAATTTATAATTTATGTTTTTTCTTTTTAGCTATATACAGTAAAAATGATAATTATGAGGTTAACATTGAAGAAATGTGGTCAACAGTCTCTCTCTCTCCCCCTCTCTCTCTCTCCCCCTCTCTCTCTCTCTCCCCCACTTTCTCTCTCTCGGTGTCAGTGTGGGGGCGGAGCTACGGGAGCCTGGAGGTGTGGTTTCTCGCGGTGTGTTTTAGCGGAAACGATCATCCGGCGGAGAATCGAACACACGGACTCTCGCCGACACACGGAGCCGAACCGGAGCCGCCGCCCAAGCGAAAGAACCCGTCAGTGGGTCCAACAGCTGGAAACATCTGGAGGTTCTGTGACATGAGGAGCCAGCTGCGGACCTGAGGGAGGACAGCCACTGACATGGCCCACGTAGGCAACGGAGCGAGCGGAGAGGAGGAGGTGCGTCCCCCCCCCCCCCCCCTATATATACATAAACACATCATATGCTTTATTCATTTATAGATATCATATATTCTACATCATTGTGTTCATAGTTATTCCTACAACATATTGACTTTAATGACAGTGAATGTATAAGATTTTCTATAATGTTAAAAATCCTCTCTGTATTTATTATTGTGTGTTCGTGGTGTTATATACATCAGATATATTCATTGTGAAGTATTTTTTAATCAGTGACACAGTGAGTGGGTAGAACACGTGCTTATTGCTTCATACAGTTTTCTATGGATATCTACAGTGTGTCTGTATTTATTAACTTTACATATCCTCTGATGTCATCCCGTATTCACTGTGTCACAGGTTGTGTTCAGTTTATTAGGAACACCCGACACAGTCTGGTCCAGTCAGCTGTTCTGTAGTTTAACCTTCATGGTTCTTCTGGAGGCTTCAGCTTGTTGTACTGTCACTATTGATCAATACAGATGTATTAATGTGTGTGGATCTGCTGACCTCTGACTTTACTGCATTTCACAGTTTCCCTCGCTGCCTTCTCTAGCAGCTAATTTCCTTCTTCACATGATTCATTGACAGGAACAGACCATATTGTTCCTGCAGAGTCTCTGTCTTCACCTCACTGTCACTCTGCTGCAGATTCACGCTTTGTGTTCCCACGAATGTGTATTTACATCCTCATCAGCAGACTGCTGGTCATTGTATTTATCTACCTGCAGTGTATAATCAGATTTAAGTGAGGCGATACTATCCATCCTGTGTGTGTGTGTGTGCGTGTTTCTTTGTGTGTGTGGGTAAATGTAAATGACAGATCTGATTTCAGCCACAGGCTTTTTTCTACACAACAAACACAGCAGACTGAATGAGAACACGAGGGTTGTTCTCTGAGGCTCGAACCTAATTTCAGGTTTTTTCCGAAGCAGAACGACTGAACGATGACATGAATAAAATCTAAATCCTGCTGCATGGCTTCTGGCTGGACAGTGCCAAGTGCACAGTGGTGAGGTTATCTTTTAACCTGCATCTCTACAGGTGAAGATGAACCGTGGATTTGGTTGAGGTTGCTCAGAGGTGTTGGGAGATTGGGGTCTTGAAAAAACCTGTGAAGATTTCTGATATCTTCGAGTAGGATTTAGAGGATTTGATCAATGTTCCAGTGGTTCACTGGATCTATCGATTGGATCCTGGAGCCTTTGACATGGTTCCATGGTTGTTTGAGGTTCTAGTGAGTGAGTTCAGTGGATGTCTAGAAGACCTATGGATCTGTCCATGCCATATCAGTCTTTAAAGAGACGCAAGAGGTTTTCCAGGTTGTCTAATAAATCCTTGTACAAGTGTCCATGGCTTTTAAAACGATCTTGAGACCATGAGAAGGTGTTATGTCATTTAGTTTGTCATAAGGGTCCATTTGCATGTACTAGATGTGTTTTAGAATGAGTTATTATTGGTTCCAAAGATTCCCTTAAAGGATCTTGGTGAATCTGAAGGGTTCTTTGGGTATTTGAGGTAATATTAGGAGGTTTGACCTGGGACATGATGAGATGACATGATTCATGATGGGTTTCCATTACTCTTAAGGAAATGTGTTGTCTCTGCAGAAGCTCTACAGACTCGTGACGCTTCAGGTGGACGATGTGGAGTCTGAGTGTCACCAGCTCATCTCCTCATCCGAGCTCACAATCCGTCCTCTGTCAGCCTCCATGCGTCCGACATTACACAGGAATTCAGCTGACTTCAGTTGAGCTGAGAGGGATGTGGGACAAGCTGTGTTTAAAAAAAAACTTAAACACAGTGGAAGGTTTTTGTCCAAACTCACTGCTCAGCAACGCAACCATAAGTAACACAAACACAGACCGAAGTCCTGTCTCGTCCATTCTGCTGAGACTGATGAGGATTAATTTGCCCTGACCTTTGACCTTTTGTTTTGGCGTCAATCTCTGACTCTCGCAGACAGAGTACTTCTTTCTGTTCAAACACCACAGGTATGAATGGAATGTAAATAAGCCCCTAAGTGTAAATACAGCAAAGCCTTTTCTTTACCTTTATTTTTCACAGTTTCCATTGTTGACCAGAGAGCAGCTCAACAGGATTAAAACCTTGCTTATGAGCACTACAGCATTAAACCCACCCAGACTCATTGCTGCAGATTATCACCAGAAAACCTAAAGTTTCCAATAAGCATAAACTACAAGACCTTTGTGATGACACAGATTGTTCAGATTCTGTGGTTTCAGGTTTATTTTGTTCCCTGAGAAGAATCCAGAGGTTTGGGAGACATTTAAAAAGTCCCCAAAGGCTTTTAAAACATGATGGTATTTGTATTTGTATCATTTGACAGGGTTTTAAAAGTCGTCGGGGGCAGACTGAGTGTTTCTTTGGGAGTTTCCAATCCTCTCTGGGTTGTTAATGTGTCTCTTTGGTAATTGGACACAGTGTGTTGCTTCTGACTAATTGATAAGAAGCTGCAGCTGTCACAAGAGAAGCTCCTCTGACTTTGACCTTGTTTCTAATATCAGACTGATTTTTCCTCAGCTGTTGTTTTCATCCTGTAACTCTGGTTGTTTTGATGCAAAGATGAAAATCGGCTCCAGTACTTTTGTCCTGGAATCAGAATAACTTTTTCATTAAGTCACAGGATACAGGATTTTTTTTCTGGGAGCTAAGATGAGGTGGAACTGTTGCTGACAGGAAGTGTTACATACGCTTTGCATTCACTGGTGCTAATCGAGTCATGTGACTGATAAGAACCAATCAGGAATAAGAGGCGAGACCATCAGCGTTTTCACAAGTCTCTCATTGAGCGGCTCCACCAGGGGTAACCATAGCAACAGTGATGAGAGAGCCATCAAAAATGATTGATTGATTAATTAATTAGCAACTTTAGACTTCAATGTGTTCATTCTCTGATGTTTTTCCTGTTTTTTAACAGTTGATCAAACCAAACTAAACAATTCATACATTGAAATCAATGAAATAAAAAACTCCACATTATGTTTTTTATTTATTAATATCTCGTTTGAAAAAAGCATCTTGTTAAGCTCTTCACCTCCTCGACTGCACAGGCTGCAAACCTCAGTTTTCAGTCCATTGTGTTAATGTGTTTGACCGTCTGGTTCAACAACATTCAAGCATAATAACACACAATGAGCTTGTGAGGGAACGTCAGAGAGAGCATCTGTTTGTGTGTGGGGGGGAGAGAGAGTGATGAAGTGTGAAAAAGGAGGAGAAGTGTTTGTTTGGATTCACACTGATTTATTTTACAATGTTTGTGAGAATCTTCCTCTATCTTTCCTTCCATCCTCCCACTCTCCTTTTTACTTGGATCTGTAAATGACCCTGTCCTTGTATGAATCGCTGAAACATGATTTTAAAACGACCAGTGCTTTGTCACATGACCACAAGATGCCTCTTGACATTAAAATATAACTGTGGGTCGTTGGGGTTGAAGTCAGTGAATCTTCACTCAGCTTCTGCGTCCTTCATCGTCTGCACTTTGTTGAATGAGATAAATCATATTTGCTCCAGATCAAATCTTTTAAAACACATTTCCTATATAAAATGTGTTATTTTGTAAAGCAGGTTGTTGTGTAGACACTCAGCAGTGTGTCTGTCTGGGTCACAGTGTTGTCGTTTGGTCATCTGTATGTGACCACAGTGGGTCGATGGCTGCAGCCTGCAGCCCCAGTGTGTGTAACTGCAGCTGTACGCTATTATGTAAGAAGCCGCTGCTATTATTAGCCTGGCTCCAGAGGCCGTGTGTGCGTGTGTGTGTATGTGTGTGTGATTGTGTGTTTGAAATCAGTACTGTTGGCTTCAAGTTCACATGCTACTGCAAATATAGAACATACGTTGGTTTGTTCATGTCTTCCCATTGTCGTGAGGACTTGCCCAGGTCCTCACAACATCAAAGTGCAGTTAAGACTTAGTCATTTAGTTGTGGTGGTTCAGGTTCAGGGGCTAGTGAATGTGTGTGCATGTGTGAGTGCGTGCATCGGTCAAACGTCCAGAGGGTTCCACAAATTCCTGTAAATCACCCAGAGGAAACACGACTATAACACACATCACATTGGAGGTTGAATATAATCAGTGCTTCTGTGTTTTCTCTGTTTTCTAGGACTGTTTTGAAGATGCCTATGACCGGATACCTGCGTGAGTACAACACACACAGATATATGCTCAGTGTGTGTGTGTGTGTGTGTGCAAAAAGATAACGATCCCTCAGTTCCTGTCTGCCTCTCTTCTCTTTCACTTTTAGTCACTTCCACCTCTAGATAGATGATTGATTTTCACTTTCTCTGTGTGTGTGTGTGTGTGTGTGTGTGTGTGTGTGCGCAGGGCGTGTCACATGGACCTGCAGACAGCCATCCAGGAGACTCAGTGTGCTCTCAACCTGGTCCTCAACAACAAGTTCTCTGAGGCCTTGGACCTCCTCAAACCATGGTAACCACGGCAACATATCTGTGTGTGTCAGTGTGTTTGTGTGCTTTTACCAAACCGACTGATTTATCTGTTTGCTGATAAACATCGTCCAATAGGAGTCGATTACAGAAAT